ACTGCCTTGGAGTAATTCAACATGTGACACACCACGTAAGCATCCCTTATGTCCCAGTTACCATCATTGCATATGGTACCCCAAGTACCTTTGTATCTTACTTCTATACGTCCCTCGTTAGGAGTCTTACCATCCACTAGACGAACAGCTACCTTGGACTTTGCTTCTGTAACAATACACAGAAACGTGCTAGCTTTTTAAGTGGAGTTTAAATTATGTATTTTTTTGTAACTTTATCTTGGAGTACGTTACGTTACAATAAGGACTGTCGTTTAGACAAATCAAATTACAGACCTATTACTATTTTACCCTCGTTATCCAAAGTATTTGGTACTTTAGTACACAGTCGAATTAGTCCGCAATTTGAGCGTATCTATCACAAGTTCGTTTTAGCCTACAGAAAGTACCACGGCTGCGACACAGCTCTATTAACTTTGTCTGAGCACTGGAAAAGAGAATTAGACAACCATAAACTAATTGGACTGGTCTCAACGGACTTAAGTAAAGCCTTTGATACTCTGTCTCACGACCTAATTGTTGCAAAGATAAAACAATGCGGTGCTGATCACAACACTGTTAAGCTTATTAGTAATTATCTCTCAAATCGATATCAAAGAGTAAAGCTAAGCGATAAATTTTCAACCTGGCAACAAATTGAAGCAGGGTTCCGTCAAGGTTCAATCTTAGGCCCCTTGCTTTTCAATATTTTTATGAACGACCTCGCCTACGTAGTTAAAAACTGTGATCTCTCCGCCTACGCAGATGATACTCAACTTTTCGCTGCAGACACTAATCCACTCCGCGTTCAAGAAATGAATAATGAAGACTTGATCCGCGTTGATGAATGGTACCAAAGAAACGGAATGAAGCGAAATCCCTCTAAATATCAAGCAATGGTCATGGGTAATACTCAAGCAAAGCCAACATTCTACTGTGAAGATAAAGTTATCCCAATTAAAGAAGAGCTAAACCTCCTTGGTGTAATTTTTGATCAGAAGCTAAAATATGACAAGCAAATAGCTAAAATAGCTAGRAAAGTTTCTCAACAGATTGCTGTGTTAAAGCGTATGAAGAAGTTACTACCTATCCAGACAAGGAAAGACATTTACCAACACTTCATCTCACCACACTTCGATTACTGTTCCGATGTTTGGCACTTTTGTTGCAAAAACGCAACAGACAAGCTAGAGAAAGTAAATGAACGAGCAATCCGTTTCGTTTTTCAAGACAAGAACAGCTCGTATACTAATCTACTCAAAAAACTGGGATCTACTACTCTGTACGAGAGAAGACTCAAGATTGTACTAACTGTCTTCAAGGCCCTTCATAAAGAATACAG